TTCTATTTATACTCTATACTTCTGAACTACCTCGTATTATTAATAACTTTTCTTTCTCTAGTCAACTATATGCTGATGATTCTTACATTTATACTTCTTTTCCTCCATCTGATCTCAATAGTGTTCTTCATAATTTATCTCTATGTCTTTATTCAATTATTGCTTGGTCTGACTCTATGTGTCTTAAACTTAATCCTTCTAAGTTTGAATTAATTTGTTTTAATAAATCTAAATACTCTATTACTATTCCTCTTATTATCTTACCTGATTCTAAAACTCTTGATGTCTCTCATAAGTTTCGTAGTCTAGGTTTTATCTTTGATTCTACTATGTCTCCCTCTTCTCAGATTAATAGTGTTGCTAGAAGCTCTTACTTTCATCTACGTAGAATAAAAAAACTTTTGCCTTTTCTTGATGATCCTACTCTTCTTCTTGTTTCTTCGTTAGTCTTATCTAGGATTGATTATTGTAACTCGCTGTTGTTGCGGTTGCGTTTAATGTTGAGAACACCGAACCAGAAGAGCAGTGAGCGGGAAAAGAAAAGAATAGTATTCGTTTGGATAGGCTGGACACGTGTTTCGTCCCTACCGGAGACTCATCAGCAGCCCGAATACCAATCAGAATAGTTATCGCTGTTTCTTATAAAGCCCGCACAAATCAACTCCTTATTTCGTGGTGTTTTATTTATTAGACTTTTTAATCGCTAGAATTTTCAATCCGACAATACTTTCCCACCCGATCGTCGCAGCGTGTGTTGGCAAACGTGATGGATGAGGTTGCATTGCCGGTTGTTGTTATATCGAAGAAAGATCTGCGTTGGAGTGGAAACTCTCGTTGCTTGTTTTTCTTCGATCACGTCGGGGTCACCAATTTGTTGCTGTTGCGTTTGATGTTGAGAACACCGAACCAGAAGAGCAGTGAGCGGGAAAAGAAAAGAATAGTATTCGTTGGGATAGGCTTGACACGTGTTTCGTCCTTACCGGGGACTCATCAGCAGCCCGAATACCTATCAGAATAGTTATCGCAGTTTCTTATAAAGCCCGCACAAATCAACTCCTTATTTCGTGGTATTTTATTTATTAATCTTTTTAATCGCTAGGATTTTCAATCCGACACTCTACTATGGTCTTCCTGACTCTATACTCTATCCTTTAAGTAAAGCTTTTGACTCTGCTGCTCGTCTAGTTGCTCGTGCCCGTTTCTTTTCTCATATATCTCCATATCTTGTTCTCTTGCACTGGCTACCTATAAAATATAGAATAATTTTTAAAATTTGCACGTTCATGTATAAGTCTCAATCTAAATTATTTCCTAAGTATTTATCAGATATATTAATTGAACCTAAACGCCCTGGTTTACGATCGTCCTCTTCTTCTCGCTTTTTCTTAACTCGTGTTAAACACTCTTTTGCCAAATCTGCTTTTGCTTTTTCTGGTCCTTTTCTCTGAAACTCTCTACCTACTTCTCTGACTTCTTCTCCATCACTTGCGAAGTTCAGACCGGATCTCAAGACCCATCTGTCTTCAAAATTCATTGAGGAGCGCTGTTGAACATCGCGGAAATAGCGTTTTATAAGCTAAATGATTGATTGATTGATTGATTGATTGATTGATTGATTGATTGATTGATTGATTGATTGATTGATTGATTGATTGATTGATTGATTGATTGATTGATTGATTGATTGATTGATTGATTGATTGATTGATTGATTGATTGATTGATTGATTGATTGATTGATTGATTGATTGATTGATTGATTGATTGATTGATTGATTGATTGATTGATTGATTGACCATGTTTCTGCACCATATAACAACACCGGACGTATCACAGATTTATAAAGTCTTGATGTAGTGTTAGTGGGATGTCACGCCGCATCAATATAGAGGCAAGGAGATGCCATTTATTCCAGGCTGCACATATGCGTGGTCGAACGGCAGCTTCAGCTGTTCCAGTACAATCCAGAACATCCCCTAGATATTGAAACGATGTGACTTTCTCTACCTTAATGGCTTCAAAAACAGTGCTATTTCGAATTTGTTGTTGTGGATTGATGCAAGCAAGACAAACAAAATTGGACACTTTAGATAAAGTACCAATTATTTTTGAACAACGTTTGTGACACCACTGGTTACACTGCTGACACTTGATTGAATTGTTACCTACACCAGCTTTACAAACTGAACAGGGTTATCGTCCAGTAGCTGTGGATTGGATGGATTCACCAGTGTTCATTGCTTTTGTTTTGCTGATGTCGACTTTGAATCCATGATCGGCAAGTCTGGTTTTCCAATCTTCAAACATCTGTGCTGCATTCTGCTCAGACGTGGCTGTTAAAACGATATTATCAGCATATACTAGATTCCAAATGTCACCAGTGCGTATCGGTTTTGTAATTTTAACAACACATCTGAGTACATTTGGTTATAACAAATTTTCAAAGATTTAGTTTAAAAAACATGGAGATGGTTCTTACCATATAACTAGAATACTGGATACAAATTTTATGAAATTTAGGTAAATTAAAGTTTGTGTTTAAAAATTGCATGACAAACATATTGAATTAATTAATTTTATAGAAATAATCAATTAAAAACTTATTTAGCTAAGTGTTACATAATTTATTAGCTGCAAAGAAAAATAATTTTTCTAGTTATATTTGATTTAATTTTTTGATGTAATATTTGATAATAATTTTTATTTGCTATAGAACTGTAATTTAAATATGTTAATTTATTCCATACTTTACTCGGAAAATGTTTTTAACAGTACTAGTTTATTATAGTAAGTCGTTTTCTTTGGTTTTTTTCCCAACTCTTCCTGAGCCGTAAATTCAACTGGTGTTTTTTTTCTGTCATCAAGTATAATGATGAATTTCGATGATTTAATGGAATATGCTGATTACTAATTAGTCATTAAAAAATATAATAATTATAATGTATTTCTATTTCTATAAAGCGACTTTTTTTATAAGAATTTTTATTGGCAAAAAAATGAGTCGTTGACCCGAAGCAGTTAATGTTGGGCCACTAAAAGAATAATACATATATACAAAAAAATTTATTAAAAACGTTAAAAACCAAATAAAATAGCATGTGATAATAGATTAAATTTATCATAAAAATAAAATATAGTCAGAATTTATCAAAAGTATAACGATTCAAACTAAACGGCAGTTAAGATCTGTGCTTTGAAACACAAGAAAGTTGAAAAATAAATTTGAAAATAAAACAGTACAAAGTGTTTGAATGCAAAAACTTAGATCTGTGCCTGTTAATCATTCAATAACTAATGACGACTTTGTAAAAAATATATGGAAATAATTAAACTCATTCAATTTAATCATTCTGTAAAAACCGCTGAATTCGAAATATATAGGTAAACATTCGTTTTTTTTACTGGATAATAAAAAATTTCGATAATAAAAAATTTCATGATTTGAAATCTGGATAAATAATTGTATAATATAAAATAATAACGATTTTAAAAAAAGATCAAATTTCAATTCGTTAATCATTTCTAGGTTTTTTTGGACACGTCCGTTGCTGCAGACTCTTACGCCGAAGAACTTGATGGATTTGCCACTTTGTATCGGGATACCATTTAAAATAATTTCTAATTGGTGATGATTTGTTATAATATCTGAATCAAACATCATATATTTAGTTTTTTTATTGGTAATATTCAAACCATTTGCAAACATGAATAAATATTTTCGAGCTCTGAGTTTAATAATTTGACTAAGTCTATTAAAAATTTTCTTAAAATTAAGATTGGGATGTCGTCTGCGTACAATATAAATATATTATGCACTATACAAAAGTTTTTGTGCAAATCGTAAAAAAGTGCGACATCAACGCTGCAACAACACTCTCTAGAACAACCCTTTATGTTATTTTATTGGAAGCAGCGTTGGTGTTACACATTCATTATATTGTGTGCCTGGATTTTTTTTAAAATGACTGTAAAATGATTACGATGCTATAATGGCAGCTAAAATTATAAAATAATACTGCAAACCCTTCGCGGACCAAAACTTAATGATTGTCTTTAATTCCTTAAAGGATCGTTGAGTGAAGGCGTTCAACTTACCTGCTAATTTTAAATTTGTTATGATTTTTGGTCAATTCTAATGAGATCAATATTTCAACATCAGTTCATTCTTTCAAGTCATATTAATCTCATTTTTGGCATGTCTTCCTTATTTTTAAGTATGTTTATTTTGATCTTTAATCATGTTCTTCCATCTGATTTCTTGCAATTTTTTTTCCACCTTCGGTCTTCAGCTAGATCCCAACAGTTTTCTGTAGCACTCAATATCCTCCATAAACAATGTTTTTAGTCAAACGCCCCAGCTCAACTATTGCACTAAATGGGTTTTTATTTCTTCTATTTTTTCTCCAATCGAATCTCAACAATTTTTTGCAGCACCTTATTTTAAACGCTTTCGATCTGTCTTTTTCTCTCTCAAACAATATCCGAGTTTAAGTCTTCCATTAAAATTTATTAACTTTCTTATTTAGTTTATTTATGGTATTTTTTTCAATTTAATCGTTAATCAAATTCTTATTTTCTTAATTTCTTTTTTAGAAAATTTGTCAAAACTCCGAAATGCGGATGAAAATTTTAGAAGGATATCGGTGACGCACGATATGACAAAAACAGAAAGAGACCAATGCCGAGAGCTAGTAAAGGAGTCAAAAATTAGACAAAGCAAAGAAACATCGGGGGAATTTATTTTCAAGGTGAAAGGTCTACCAGGAGACATGAGAATTGTAAAGCTGAAGAAATATTAAATACAACGAGTAACAACGCAGAGAAAGCAACAATAAAAAAGAAAAAAAAACAAACCTGAAATTTTAAAATTGTAAATATTGATATAAGAACAGAACTGGAGTTATATATAGAAAATGAACAACCCGATATCATAGGTATAACTGAATCATGGGCGAAAGAATCGATTCAAGATAGTGAGATAGAACTGAACGGATACGTAATGTTTAGAAAAGACTGGGAACACAGTAAAGATAAAGGACAGGGCGGTGGAGTGTTATTGTACATAAACGAAAAACTGACTGCACTGGAAAGAAAAAACCTGAAAAACGACAAATTTAAAATAATTGTTTGGTGTGATATAAAGAACGATACTGAAACACTGCGTGTAGGAGTATGCTACAGAGTACCAGATTCAACAAAAGAGAATGACAGCGGATTACGTGAACTGATCAGAAATGCCACAAAAGTGCCTTGCGTAATAATAGGAGACTTTAACCACCATATTGACTGGAATCATAGAGAAGGCAAAAAGCTGGCAGACGAACTGTTTCTGGACTGCATAGACGAAAACTTCCTTACTCAGCATGTGATGGAGCTAACAAGGGGAGAAAATATATTAGATTTAATAATATCAACAGAAGAGAACATAATAGAAGAAGTTAGGGTAAGAGAAGAATTTGGAACGAGCGATCATAGGATACTTAGATTCAACATAGTGTTAGAGCAGAAAAAAAAGACGAGGCTTATTCAAAGCGCTACAATTATTTCAAAGCAAACTACGACAAGGTCAGAAATAAAATCATAGAGATGAACTTGGCAGAGCGATCGAAAGATTTGGGAGTGCAAAATAAATAGAAAACCTGTATGAATAAAGTTGTTGAAGAAACTATACCGACTATCCGGAGAAGCAACAAAAACTACCGTGGATAAATAAAAATGTACTGAAAACAAGAAGATCAAAATTTAAAGCATGGAAGAAGATGCAGGAGTTAAGACAGAGATATCTCAGAAATGCTAAAGATATCTCAAAAAGTGAGTTAGAAGCAGCAAGGGATAAATACATCAGAAAGAGAAATCTAGCAAAGGCAACAAACAGGAAAGCAATAAAGGAATATGAAGAAAAGCTAAGTGAGAACATAAGTAAAGACAGTAAAAGCTTTTTCAGTTACATGAAAAGTAAACAAAAAAAAGGAAAGATAAAGTGGGGCCTCTGAAGACTGATCATGGCAACATTGTAACGGAAGAAAAAGAAATGGCTGAGATGCTCAATAACTACTTTGGATCGGTGCTGACAAAAGAAAATACAAATAACATAAAGGAGCCAAAAAAATTTCTTGGGGGAAGCCAAGAAAGGATGCTTACAAGTGTTTACATAACAGAAGAGATGGTTGTCGAAATACTAGGCAGTCTCAAAGAGAATAAAACTCCAGGAATAGATGAGCTGCACCCAAAAGTTTTAAAGGAAATAAGACATGAAGTAGGAGCCACACTGTGCAAAATATTTAATGACTCTTTAAGATCAGGAGATATACCAAGGGATTGGAGGGACGCTATCGTCACGCCATTGTTCAAAAAAGGACGTAGAAGCGAAACTAGTAACTACAGACCAGTTAGTTTAACTTGCATTATATGTAAAGTATTAGAAAAAATTATCAAGAGAAATATAGTCGAGCACTTAAATTCTAACTGCATAATCAATGACAGCCAACATGGTTTTATGAAAGGACGATCCTGTCTATCTAACCTATTGGATTTTTTTGAAGATGTTTATGCTAACCTAGACCAGGATAACTCGGTAGACGTAATATATTTAGATTTTGCAAAAGCATTCGATAAAGTGCCACATAAAAGGTTATTCAAAAAGTTACAGGCATGTGGGGTAGAAGAAAATCTGCTACAATGGATAAAAAATTGGCTGAAAGATAGGAGATAACAGGTGCGGATAAAAGGAATTAACTCGAGATGAATAGACGTAACAAGTGGCGTGCCTCAGGGATCGGTATTGGGACCGCTATTATTTGTGATATGCATTAACGACATCGACGAAGGAATAGTCTCCAAGATTTCAAAGTTTGCAGATGATACCAAATTATGTGGGAAAGTCAACAACGATGAAGATGCAGAAATATTGCAAAAAGACCTAGCAAGACTGTACCAATGGTCCAAGGACTGGCAAATGCTTTTCAACGTTGACAAATGTGCAGTCATGCACTTAGAGAGGAAGAACGCTAGATATGAAAATAAAATTGGTGAAAGAGAACTACGATCGACAGAGAAAGAAAAGGATCTAGGAATCATTGTTCATCAAAGCACAAAACCGTCAAGACAATGTACAGCTGCAGCGGCCAGAGCCAATACGATCTTGGGATTTATAAGAAGAACAATGGTCAACAGAGAGAAACATATTATACTGAAACTGTATAAAACCCCGGTCAGACCTCATCTGGAGTACTGTGTTCAAGCATGGAGCCCATATATGCAGAAAGATACGGAAGTTTTGGAAAAAGTACAGCGTAGAGCCACAAGAATGATTAGAGGAATCGGAAAAATGGAATACGATGAGAGATTGAAAAAATGCGACTTGACATCATTGGAAAAAAGAAGATGTAGAGGAGATCTAATCCAAACATATAAATTGATCACGAATAGGGAAACAACACCATACTCGAGATTTTTCAGGCTAGTAAACAGTGATAAACTACGAGGACACAGATTTAAAATTTTCAAAAATTCGGATGGAAAAATAAAGAGCAGATTCTTCAGCAGTAGAGTGGTCAACGCCTGAAACGAGCTAAGCGATGATGCAGTCTCTGCGAATTCACTCAACAGCTTCAAAGCCAAACTCGAACAGATAGGATATTATGAGATCTAATTAGTAGTGGTTCTTACACAGACCATAGTCTTCTGAACCACTTTGAACCCCGTTAATAATAATAATAATAATAATAATATATGTTAAACCCATACTTTCAAAATTTACACTAAAGTTCCATAAAATTAATTTCTAAATGCATCATTAATTTTAAACAACAAAAAATATTTTTTTAACTATATTTCAATGAATCGAAAAAACAAAACTCATAATTACCTATTTTTTATCATAAAATCATTTTAAATTAACATTATATAGATTAATAGATATTTTAACATTAAAACTTTTTATACCTAAATCATATATATTGAATAACCTTTTTTGAGTAAATGACATATATAATAAAACAACACTGTTTAAATTTGAGCGGCCAAGGGAACGATGCACAAATGCGTTCCATAACAATTCAGAGCAGTAATTTTTGGTGGCATCGGTAAAGAAGCGTTTATATCGCTATACAAAATAATAAGCTGTTGTATTTTTAAGACATATTATAAACCAAGGGGATGCCTGTCAAATCGGTTCGTACACCAGAAAAAAAAAGGTACTAAACAAGCTTAAATATTATGCAAATGCATGAAATAAATCAATTAAAACATAATTAAAATTAATAAAATCTTTAAAAATGAATATATATTTAATAATAAACTACAAAAATCTGAAAATTTAAAAACCTTGATTACTTGTTCATTACATAAATGTTCATAGGAACTAAAGAATGAAACCAGACTCTAAGCGAGCTGAAAATGTGGGGCCTGTACTGGTATTCTAAGTTTATGTTATTTACATAGCCTATTTATTATATAACTTTTTAAAATATTTTTACACCAATTGAAATGTATGATATAATCATTATAATGAGAGGAAAATGTATACCACCAATAAAGTTAAAAGTTTAGTGATAGAATAAAAATTGTTTGAATGTAATTTAGTCAAAGGTACTAAAATTATTAGGAAACACTTTCCTATGATATACGTAGCGACATTAAAGAGTTTTCTATAAATGTTATTTTATACATATGGCCTAAATGATACCTAACCGACAAAATAAACGACATATTTGCTGCTGAGCAGAAAATAACAGATGGTAAAACGATATATCCTACATATGTTATTTTTGATTGATTTTTAAAAACCTTTTCTCCCACTTCTCTAAATATTATATATATATATTTATATTATATTATATTATATATATATATATATATATATTTTGGAACGAGGTTTTCTTTGATGCAAATATCGTTAAATATTTTTGCCCATTTTGCATTAATTAATTTTTTAATAAGGATTTCGACAACACGAAGCTGTTTTAATTCATATTTATTATCATTATGTTTCATCCTAGGCTTACAACGTTGTTTCGACATACAGTCATCATCAGAGCCTGGTTTTACGAAATATCAAAAATTGAATTATAATTTAAACATTAAAATCAAGAAATTTAATGAAAAGTACAAGAAATGAAATTATGACGTTGTAATTAGAAAATTAGAAATATGAAAATGTAAAATATGAAAAATGTTACCTTGTAATTATAAAATATTGCAATAAAACAATAAACGGTTTTAAACGAATAAAATTAAAACAAAATTATGAAAATAAGTAAATAAAATTGTGTAGAAATGTATAATAAAACAATTCAGTTAAACGGGAAAAACAAGTGTTTCGTGGCCGGATTATATAAAAAGTGAAAGTCAGGAAGACGATATAAAAAGGTGAATGTAGAAATTAAAATTTATTATTATAATTAATAAATAATTTAGATAAAGATAAAAAAATAAAATTTGAAACAAAATAAAATGACGTTATTAAAATAAGTATTATAGAAAGATAAGTAATAAAAATATAAATATAAAAATATCATAAAATAAAAATAATTTAGCAGTTATTGAATAAGGTAGCAAGTGACGTGATGACCATGAATTTCGGACGTGACGTTAATAACTGTGTATTAACTGGTCGAAAATTGTCAGACTTAGAACGATATTCGTATCGTGTGGGTACTGAAACGTCTGCTGGCTTGTTTTCGACTGCAATCGTTGGTATCAGTTCACAATATTGAGAAAATAATTGAAGGGTATGATCGAAACTATTATATTGTTTGTTTAATGTTGGTTTGTATTTGTTGATGTACAGGGCTTCGCGAATTTTGAGACGTCCAGTATTTAATACTGAATCCAGTATTGTTGTATTTGAATCCAATATGGTCCTAGTAAGAGGCATATGGTGCTCGTTGGACATATGGTCTCTAATGGCGCCGTCCTGCAAATGCATAGTGAGCCTACGAGAAAGAGTAGTACGCGTGTGGCCGATGTAACTTTCAACAACACTGTGTGGCATAGGACATGTAAATCGGTACACGTTCGTCCTCTCTAGCGTAGATGAAGGTGGATTGTTGTTATTTTTTATGATGAGGTTTGAGGTGCGGTTGGTGTTGTAGTATATAATGAATTTTAATCGACTGTTAACATGCATAACATAACATAACTTGCATTTTATAAGCATAACATGGCCGAAAAAGGAGAGTTGTTGTTTGACGATTTTGCCCTCAAGCGGCACTTTTGGCTTGATACAGTCCAAGACCGTCTTATTTGTTGTTCGCGATGTCCAGGGGATACGCAGTAGTCCAAAGTTCAAAAGCGTCGATCCTTCTTCTTACCGCTTTCTTGATTGTCCAACTTTCACATCCATAAGTTGCTATGGGAAAGTCAACGGCGTTGGCAAGTCTCGTTTTCGTTGCAATGCTCGCATCCTTGCTCTTCCAGATTTTATCTATTTCTTGCATTGCAGCCCGGCCGAGTGCAATCCGCCTTTTGATCTCTGGTCCAGATTCGCCGTTTCGGTCAATTTTGGCTCCCAGGAAATGAAATCTTGTACTGTCTCGATCTGTTCATTGTTGATATTGATGTTTACTGCATCATTGCATGCCGTTGTCATTACTTTCGTTTTCTTGATGTTGAGGTACAGTCCCATGCGTTCACTTTCCTCTTGAACTCGTTGGATCAAGTATTCCAGATCTTTTTCACTTTCTGCGAGTATAGTAGTGTCATCCGCATATCGCAGTTTGTTGATAGTCTTACCTCCAAGTTGGACTCCGATTGTGGTTTCGTCCAGATTGCATCGTCGCATGATGGTTTCGGCATACAGGTTAAACAGAGCTGGGAATAAAATGCATCCCTGCCTGACGCCTTTACCGATTTTGAACCAATCGGTGTTACCATACGATATTCTGATAGTTGCTTCTTGATTGGAGTACAGTGTTTGTATCAGTTGTTCAATGTGCTCTGGTATGCCCATTTGTTTCAAACACGTCCAGAGTTTGTCATGGTCCACACAGTCGAACGCCTTGGTATAGTCAATGAAACACTTATAGATGTCCTTCTGGTATTCTCTAGCCTTCTCCATGTTCCAGCGTAGGTTCGCAATTTGATCCCTCGTGCCTCGTCCCTTGCGAAAGCCAGCCTGAACATCTGGTAGTTTCCGTTCCATGATTGCCACAATGCGGTTTTGTAGAACCTTTAGCAGGATTTTGCTGGCATGGGAGATGAGCGCGATAGTTCGATAGTTGGAACATTCTTGTAGATCGCCTTTTTTAGGAAGCGTGACGAAAACTGATCTTGTCCAGTCGTTGGGCCATAATTTTGTGCTCCAAATTTTCTGACACAATTTGGTAAGGATTTTGACTGGTATTGGCTTGAGTAGTTCTGCTGGTAAATTATCCGTGCCTGGGGCCTTCCTGTTTGGTAGTTGTTTTAGAGCCCAACTGACTTCTTCTTCCAGGATGTCCGGTTCCAGATCAATCTGTTTGGGTTGAACAACCAGTTGGATTGATGGATTGCCAGCGTATAGCTCCTCTGCATAGTCCCGCCATCGTCGCTTGATTTGCCCTTCTTCTTGCAATATTGTACCATCACTGTCCTTGACGGTAGACACTTTGCATGCCGTGAATGGTTTTCTGGCCTGCTTGACATAGGTAAAAAGAGTACGGGTATGACCGTGTCGTTTCGCCTTTTCCAGTTCCTCGCATTGGTTGTTCCAGTATGCTTCTTTGTTCTGTCTGGCCCTTTTTTGGAACGCCGCATTGAGTAGTCGGAATTCCTCGATGTTCCCTTTTGCCTTAGCCATGCGACGATGCTCGGCAATCTTGATTGCTTCGTCCATAAGCCACTTCGATCTTTTCATTGATTTCTTGAACGGGATGATTTCCTCTGCTGTTTGATGGTGTCGTTTCCAGAGTAGACGACGGTGTATTCATCGCTTTTGAAATATCCATTACCCGTCCAGTGAAGCTCGCTGATGTCCAACAGATCGATATGAAGTCTTTGCATTTCTTGCTTGATGATTTTGAGTTTGCCTATGTTCATGCCGCGAACATTCCATGTGCCGATATTGTGAATAGTTGTTGAAAAACGTAGACGCTTCCTTTTGCTCGGAGCCACATCAGCAGGCGGGAGTCCTGATGGATTTGTCCCGTCCACGTCATAAATGCCTTCGCTACTTGAAAAACGTTCACGTTCATCCCTGGTAATATGATAGGTGCTTTCCAGCCCAGGGGTCTCACTTTTCAGCACCATATCTGAACTTATTTGATTGTACTGATCTATAAAGTATTAAAGTACTATAAAGTATTAAATAGTGAGGTAGTTTGCTATTTCTTTCCTCACCCCTCCCCATTTATCCGGGCTTGGGACCGGCATGTAGTTGTTGCCAAATATTAAAATAAATGGAAATGTAAACCATATAAAATAAAATACAATAGTTCCTAAAATGTTGTGATTTAAAACAGGTGAAATGAAACATATTAATAAATGAATAAATAATTTGAAGAGATACATTAAAAGCAAAATTTTACCTTGTAATGCAGATAAAATTGAATAATTAGTGAAATAAGTATATTATATTAAGTTATATATATTATTTTAAGTTATATATATACATATATTATATGAAATAAGTTATATATATATATATATATATATATATATATATATATATATATATATATATATATATATATATATGTACAATATTCTATAAATTCTACCGAATGTTTGGCGTTAACACGTTTGTAGATCGTTTTTTCGATTTTTTTCACTAAAGTTTTTTGGTGAACGTTTAGTTTGTTAAAATTCAAAATAAACTTATTTTCCGAAGTTTATTTTAAATTTTAACAAACTAAACTAAACCTTCTTCTTCAGAAGTCCTTTTTTTAGATTAGATTATACTTGTCACATTTATGCATTATTATTCGGTGATATGTTTATTGTTCATCATTTTACTAATATTTGTTTTTAAGTGTAACTTAAATCTACTTTTCGTTTTTGCTTTTTTGTTTGTGTCTGTTATATACCATATACGGCAGCGCGTGCGATTGCTTTTTAATTACGAAGGTAATGTTCGCGACGGTTTTGGTGTATCTAACAAGCGGAACCAATATTGTCAAATTAGCTGAACAGTTTGAACTAATATATTTTCGTTTAATAATATTACACGGAATAATTAAAAATTTAATTTTATTATATAAGCATCTGCGTCTCGTTAATTTTTGGAAACGATACGATTTCGGCTACGATGAAGCGTATCCAACAGGCGGACTCAATCATGTCAAATCGGCTGAACAGTTTGATCTAATAAATTTTCGTTTAATGAAAATACACGGAATTATTAAAAATTAATTTTGTTACATAAGAATTTGCGTCTCGTTATTTTTTTGAAAACGATACATAACGATACGATAACAATACGATAACGAGGTATTGAAGACTATATATTGATATAATAAAATCATGTGCACAAGTATGTGCACAAGTTGTATGATGATTTTTGAGTTTTTGAAAGATAGTATTTGAACATCGCGCAACAACAATGACGCTTGGCACATTTACAGTCTGCCCTTAGTTGTTTTCCCGCCTATTCCGCTTTACAAAATGTACTGTATTAAAACAGAAAAAAGTTAAAGGTCAATTACACTCTTCCAAAGTTCAGAGGATTCAACAGAGCGCAAAACATCGTGAATGAACATCGTGCTAAACGACGCATTACACACGAAGCATGTGATACGCGGGGATATTTTTGTCACATTCGAACCCGTTTACTGCGAAACAGCACCAGACGACTTTAACCATTAGACCATCACGCCGCCCAGTCATTTCGTCCAGAAAACAGCCATTCAATTGAAAAATTAAAGAAAAATTTGTTTTGTTCGTATTTTTTATTTGATACGAGGCTTTTTGAAGAATGTCTCGTTTTAATAACGATACGATATTTTTAGAGTCTTTATTAAACCAAAGTCATTCAATTGGAAAAAATTAAATAAGTTTTAATATTTTATAACACTTTATTTTTTTACAATGTGCACTTTTACCATTTCTACACATTGAAATAATGGTACGAGACAAAAATTGTGTCTTTTATTTTTTATTTCGATATGATAGACTTTCCTAAAAATGTCTTGTTTAAATAACGATAGGAGATCTCTGATATTGTTATTAAAGGATACGAGATTTTTCGTATTGTTTTATAACGATAGGAGATTTTTTTACCGTTATTATTATTAAATCTCTGTCGATTGGTAACGAAAATAACGGTTCGAGACGCAGGTGCATAGTATAAGATTCTATATATTATTATGTTGACATTATAATACAATCTAAAAATTGTACAGTATATTATCGAATATTTTAAAATTGTGTTATACTTTGATTTATAAATTAATTTTAATGAACTCGGTGAATTAAACAGGAACTGCAAAGAAGTATTGAACTTAATTATGGAAGTTTTTGGTCCTTGTTATTATCTCGCAAAAAACCTAAGTGCACCACAGTTTTGAAGTTTCCTGTATCTGATGTGTTACAACGTCATTCCTGCTCTTGCTTGTAGTATAGTTTATAATTTGATTAACACAAAATGGCAATGCCAGAATAGAATACCGTGATTGTACTTTTTGGACTTTTTTAAATTTTAGATGTTTTTCAGATTATGTTTTGAAACGGAATAAAATTAAAAAAAATACTTTTAAAATTATTCTGCATATTTAAACTCTAGTGTTACTTTCGAAAGAAATGTTCATGTTTTAATTCTCGTGTTTTTTTTTCTTTTTTTAAACGAGTTATTTGCTACAAATTTTTGTACCGTATCCCCGTTTTTTGTTGGCTTCTCTAAAAAGAATTACATTTATACTAATATAAACTGTTTTAATTTCACACGTAGTGGTAGTTGATGACTCAACTCCATTCATTGTTTTTTGGCCCAAGGTGACATAAAAATTACATCTCAAAACGGACCGGATTAGCGTCGATCCAGATGTTTATGTTTCAGCAGTAAATACCGTCAGTGAAACAGCACGTTCAATCCAGAACGTTGCTCGTCAATAGTTTTATTTTTCTGATGCTGCGTCACATCAGAATTTGTCAAATGGAGGCATTAGTCCATTGTTAACAGCTCAGCGTAATTGACAAATTTTTAGTGTTATCTTGGAACAGGAAACAGCGAAAGAGTAGGCCTGTTATTTCAAATCAGTTAAACCTGAAAACGACGAAACCAAGTATTCATTTGTCATAACTATGGCGTGATGGCTTAATGGTTAAAGGCGCCTGGTCTTGCTATTGCATTGACTGGGTTCGAATATAAAGAGATCCCCGCCTATCATATGCAATGTGTATGATGCGTGGTTTGCACGCGTATTCATATACGCTGTGTGTGTTTGTCGTTGAAACCTTTGAAGCAAACGCAAAAGAGAGAAACCTTTAATCTTTATGGTGAATATTTAATAACTTTCTTTTTCGTTTTAATGATATTTGATGCTAATAACATTCAACCCCAACCTGTGTATCAATCAACTTCGATATTGGGGTTTGTTTACGACATTTGTTTGTTACATTTTGAAACCGCAATTTTTTTTAACGTTAAATAAAAAAAGTTATAAATGTTTTAGTAAGTGAGTAATTAAGTCATACCACACACACACATTGATATAAAAAAATGGATATATAGGTACATATATAATATATATATACAAAGATATATTAAACAACAATGCATACTTTTTTATAAACTTTTTATTACAAATAAAAATGTTAAAAATTTATTTCGTGCACTTTAGAGAATAAATGATGTTTCTCTTAAAGTTCATCATTCCACGTTCATTCAGGTGGATACCGTCAGGTCCTATATTATTACCTCCTCCCACTCTGTCAAGCTTCCAGAAATGAACGATGTTAGACTGGAATTGTTTCAATGAAACATTTAGTTTATCAACTTTCCATTTCTGAACGTCTTTTCTATAAACCAGGCTTAATATGATTATTCGGCGCGGTCTGATTTTGTTCTCTAACAGTCTGAGTAAGGATTCATATCTCGCGGCCACGAGTTCCGGGGTTTCAGTCGTCAAATCATTGCCTGGTATTTAATTTTAATGATTAAAAATTAAACAAAACTGTTATTATATTAAAAGAATAATGAACCTACATTAAACTATTTTTTAAACAAATGAATCAACCTCCGATGTAAAGGATTATTGTTTCAATAGGAATGGTATGCTTCCGGAAAAAGTTAATCAATCCTCCGATCCTCCCACCAGGCTTTCACTTTAATATGACACGTTTATTACCGTGGGTAATAACGTCATTTTTCATTTTTTTTAAAAATTCCATTCTACGCACATAACTGTCGCCAAACAACGAAATAGACATTGCTCGAACAGTTTTATAAATTTAACCTTGACAGCAAGTAACAAAATGGCCAACATAGAAGTGAAAAACGTGGTTTCTTAACATGGAAATAGAAATGTAATTAAACGTGTATAATTGAACTGAAACGTATATAATGTCAATAATTGTTATACACACAAATTGTTTAATACATATAATTACGGCAAGGAAAAACAATTGTATATAATAAGATAGATCTAAATTCATAATTTATAGATCTAAAAATAGATCTAAATTCATAATTTCATAATTTGGTAACACTAAAATTATCAATTCATCGTAGTGCAGAAGTGAACATCTTTTGTCGAAGACTGAAGATGGCTAACGCGAGCGGTGTTTTTATTGAATACCATTTTACGTTACCGATGTCGCAAATTTGGAAATGTATGGGTAAAGCGTTCAATCGAATTATTGAAAATGTGCACAAAACGGGAAAAGGTTTTGTTGTATATGGTATTTTTGGGAATAAAATTGTCTATTGGAAGATGTAAGTAAAACAAGACGTTCAATCCAGGACGTTGCTCGTCGATAGTTTTATTTTTATGATTCTGCGTCAAATCAAAATTAGTCAAATGGAGGCATTAGTCCATTGTTAAAAGCTCAGCGTAATCGACAAATTTTTACTGTTAATTTGGAACAAGAAATTGCGAAAGGTATAGGCAGAGAAAAGTTACTCAAGGTTTTTTTATAACTAAAAATTGTACGAAGCCGCAAAAATAAATGTTACGATAACTATATCTGTTAGCAATATTGATACCTGTAGCGTGCAATTACCAATTCATACACATAACATTATGATTTTTAGCACACACCACACACACACACACATATATAGATATCATAATCCGTGGGCAAGTAATACTTGGTAAATATATATTATATATATTTATTCAATCGCTTGGGTTTGCACTTTTTTTGTGCTATACGTTTTTTTTATTATTATAACGTATTATTATATTTCTTTTGTGTTTTCATACATTTAAATTAAAGCTAAAACTTATATTTTATAAATATGCTATATTAATTTGTCGCAAAAACACTACAGTTTGTTATATTTTACCTCGTATATATAGTTAAAATTTATACGCTTGTCAATCTGTACTATTCACAATTATAGTCATCACAAACTTTTTTTCAATTTAAAATGTTAAGATTTTACTTTTTGCTGCAATTGCATTAGTATTTGTTAATTTTTAGCTAAAATAAAAAACATATTTTGTTTTTTTTTGTAAATTTAAATGTTCACGCGTTAAAGAACTATAGTTCAATTACTGTGCAATGCATATTATTCTTTATACGAAATAACATTTTTATTAAATTACAGTCTAGTTTGAATTAACAGGGTTGGTTTGGCCAAGCTTGCAGGAGCCTAAAGCAGAGAAATAATTTCACCAATCGAAAATGTAAAAAACTAGTGATAACAATAAAAAATTGAAATTCACAGATTGACTTATTCTGGAAGAATAAATGCTTTTAAGGGTTAACTGAAAATGGTCCCAAAGGCAACGATGAATCTTTACAAAACCTACAGAGCATAATAACATGTAACTACAATGCCTTAGAAAAAAAAGAGGTTAGTTGCAGGATGTAAATCAACTGCACGGTGCATCTATTAAGTAGTGCATTTGAAGAAGAGGTGTACCAAGGTTACCGGTGACGCAAATATAGAAATGTATGGGTAACGCGTTCAGACCAATATTTGGGGATGTGCACGAAACGGGAGAAAGTTTTGTTATATATGTTATTTTTGGAAATAAAATTGTCTATAAAAAGATGCAAATATTTTCCAGATGCACACATAAATGGATTTTTGGCGATTTTTTAACTTTCTCGTTACCGATGACGCAAATTTGGAAAAGTATGGTTAACGCGTTCAATCGAATTTTTGAGAATGTGCACAAAACGGGAGAAAGTTTTGTTATATATGGTATTTTTGGGAATAAAATTGTCTATAAAAAAATGCAAATATTTTCCAGATGCACACATAAATGGATTTTTGGCGATTTTTTAACTTTTTCGTTACCGATGACGCAAATTTGGAAATGTAGGGTTAACGCGTTCAATCAAATTTTTGAGAATGTGCACGAAACGGGAGAAAGTTTTGTTATATATGGTATTTTACGGAATAAAATTGTCTATTAGAAGATGCAAATATTTTTTAGATGCACGCATAAATAAATTTTTGGCAATTTTTTAACTTTCTCCTTATCGTTGGTATATTAATATATAGCGATTTTATGATGAAGTTTTTTATTGTTTTATGCAATTTTTAATCTGAATAAAATTAATATGTTATAATTAACAAATAAAAAACAATAATAAATCTTTCTTCATTTCATTTAACTTTTAAATATTTATTATTTAATCGGTTTTTTCATAATCCGCCTTTTACATATGCTAAATCGTCGCTGAGTTAAAACCGTCGTGATTGTTTGTAAACATGGACTATCTCCCCGTTTTACCCTATTTCCTATATTATAAGATTAATTTGAGCTAACAAGAAAATGAAACGAAGTTTAAAAAAAGTTGATGGCACTATTTATAAAACTGATTTATCTTTTTCAAATATTTTAAATCTTTTAAAAACAAAATGAAAGAGAGGACTTCTGAAGACTCTAAATGTAAAAGTAAAGGTAATTAAATTAAAATTGGTGGTTTTTAATCTGTAATTTATTATTTTTAACTTAAATCTTATTATTTTTCAGCGATGGAAAATACTGATTCAGAAATAGAGTCTGCTGCACATTTACCAACTTTTGTCAATGTCTCAAGTTTTGTAGAATCAAATGAGGGCATATGTAATGTAGAAAACATTGTTGAAAAACGGTTTCAGTAGCCATCAGATTGAACAGAAAATGTAAACCAGAAACAAAACAGATGCTCTGGTTTTCCAAAAGTGTGCAGAAATGAGCTTCAGTTTAAAGCTTGGCAAAAGTCACGGTCGTGGTTCAACTGGGTCGGTTATGTGCAGTATTTGTATAGAAGCAAAGTCTTCTACACTAGCAAGTGATGTGACACCTGGTTGTCGTAAGGACAGGGCTTTAATTGATGAAACTCTTGGCGGAAAACTGCCAAAAAAATTGCTAAAAAAAATTGATAAACACCAACAATCAAAATGCTACCCATACCCCCTAGTTGTGAGGATTTTCGCGCCTTAATGCTGACTTCACCCGCGAATCCTTATGACCCCCCTACTTCTTTGTTCACAATTCGAACACTGCTACCACTACTTTTACTACTACTACTAATATTTGTATATTACAACTAAAGAAGTTGTTAAACATTATTAAACAGTCAACATGACAAATATGTTTGTGCTTAATGATGTATATCGGCGATGGACGTATTTGTTGTCTCTCTCTCTCTCTCTCTCTCTCTCTCCCTCTCTATCTATCTATCTATCTATCTATCTATCTATCTATCTATCTATCTATCTATATGGATATAATATATATGTATGTGCTTAAATGTACATATTCATCATTTTTACATTCTTTTATTCATTAAGGCTGTGACCAAACTGGACAATGGACATTAAATATATGTTGAAGATATGCTTGAATGTGTTTATTTGCGTATGTGTGCGTGTGTATGAGCGTGTGTGTCCGTGTATGTCAATTTTAAAAAATTACAAAAAAATGTACTGCTACCACTTTAATTTTAATAAAAGTTAATTTTTACAATTTTTAAGTTCAAATAAAATATTGAGATAACATTTTGTGAGAGAAGGAGAGATAAAAAAGAAAAGATGACAGATAGAGAGAGAGAGAGTAAAAAGAGAGAAAAAGTAAAAGGAGTGAGTGAAAGAATTCACGAAGCAATTCACATTCATACATTTATTTATTCAATCATTCATACATTTATTCATTTATTCATTCATACATTCATTTATTTATTCATTCATACATTAATTGGTCCTGGCCATGACATAAAACTGCATCCACGCTGCCTTGCGTGCTTTTGAGCGAAAGGCTAGGCCCACCGCTTATAACTGGTGGTTGTCGTCAGGATGGGTGTCCGGATGTAAAAACTTTTCCCCAAATTACTCTTATGCCATCACAAAGAAAAACAACGGCCCCTAGTCCCCAGCAGGTCTTAAGTGGTCAAGAGGTGCCAAGAATCCCTGGGAAGTATGCAATATCGGAGAGATGTTGCAGAAAAATTCAGAATGGCCCCTCTATGGTACATAGACTTGGAACGCTCAATGTTGAATCACTGACTGGCCGCAGCATGTGGAAATCGCAGAAATGCTCGAGCGTAGAAGGATTAAAATCTGCTGCCTTCAGGAAACCCGATGGAAATCGAATGGTGTCTGTCATGTCAACTCAGACAAAGAAAGATATAAACGATTCTGGAATGGTCAAAAGACGGCCAAAAATGGTGTTGGAATTTTTGTCTGAGAATCGCTAGCCCAAGAAGTATTGGATATTAAAAGGATTAATTTGCGTCTTATGTGGATCAAGCTTCGCATAGAAAATCAAACAATGATTATTTTTTCTGCATACGCACCACAGACAGGCGAATAAGAAGAAATGAAAAATGACTTCTGGACTGCATTCTCTGACACCATCTCAACAATACCAAAATCTGAAACAATCCTGAATGGAGGCGATCTCAATGGCCACGTTAGAGAGAAAACAGATTGATTTGACAACGTACATGGCGGTTTTGGCTATGGAGAACGGAATGAAGATGGCAACCGCATCCTTGAGTTTGCTGAAAGTAACGGGTTTTGTTTACAGAACACATATTTTAGCAAGAGGTTGGAACATCTCATAACATACAAAAGTGGACCATCAGCCACGCAAATTGATTTCTTCGCTGTCAAGCAACAACACCGAAGGCTATTCAAAAACGTCAAAGTTATACCTGGCGAATCATGTGTCGCCCAACATAGACTCCTTGTGGCAGACCTGGTTGTCGAACTGTCAAAACATAAGTCTAAACAAATGCCTCGGAGAATCAAAACGTGGAAGCTGAAAAGCAATATTCATCGAGAAAAATTTCAACAGATTGTCGCCACACAGACCACCAATCGCAAGCCAGTACAGATTGGAGTACATACAAAACTATTTTGATGAACGCTGCAATTACAGTTTGTGGGGAAAACTGGTACAAAACGTCTGCATGAACGTGAAACTTGGTGGTGGAATGACAGTGTACAAAATGCAATAGCTGAAAAGAAAGTTGCATACAAGCAATGGCAAAAATCAAAGTCTGTTGATGACCATAAAATTTTCCGTGAGAAGAACAACTATGCAAGACGTCAACTCGCACTGGCTCGGACAGATCAGTGCAGAGAGTGGCTCACTAAAAGCAAAGGTGAACAAATGAAATCTCTGTATCGTATAGCAAAACAAGCAAAGCGTACGAAAAATACATAGTTGGTGCCTCATGTATTAAAAATGACAAAAATGAGATGGTTCTTGAACAAGATGAGATCAAGCTACAGTGGAAAGAATACTTCAACCGTCTGTTAAACGAAACTAATCCCATCAATGTTAACTTTGACGCTCCACCCATCGAAGGTCCGATTCCAGACATCACTGTAGAGGAGCTTACAGAAGCTCTGAAAGCTATGAAGTATGAAAAGGCAGCAGGGCTCTCTGGACTCACAAATGACATTATCAAAGCATCTGGTACTGCAGGTATCCAAACGTTACTACAACTTTGCCGTGAAATCTGGAGAAATTGCTCAATGCCGACTGAATGGAACTATAGCATGACAGTCCCGCTATACAAAGGCAAAGGTGATCCATTGAACTGTTCATCATATCGGGGTATACGTCTGTTAGAACACTCTCTGAAAATTGTCGAGAAAATCATTGAGAGAAGATTAACGTCGTGCATCACAATCGGAAATTATCAATTTGGTTTTCTAGCGGAGAAGTCAACAATTGATGCAATTCACATCCTTCGGCAACTGCAAGAGAATTACCTCGCAAAGCATCAACAACTATCACACATTTTTGTAGACCTTGAAAAAGCATTTGATCCCCGTGATCCCCATTTGATCCCCGTGAAGCAATCAGGTGGAGTCTACGTCGACAACTCATTCCAAAATATCTTGTTCGACTTGTGATGGAAATGTATACGAATACTAACACTTTTGTCAGCACAACGGTTGGAAACACAGATGCATTTGACTTCGGCGTTGGAGTTCATCAAGGCTCGATTTTCAGTCCACTGTTATTTATAACTGTGATGGAAGAAATCACAAAACCGATACCCACTGGTGACATTTGGAATCTAGTATATGCTGATGATGAATGCAGCACAGATATTTGAAGATTGGAACACCAGACTCGCCGATCATGGATTCAAAGTCAACATCAGCAAAACCAAAGCAATGAACACTTGTGAACCCATCCAATCCACAGCTACTGGACGATGGCCCAGTTCAGTTTGTAAAGCTGGTGTGGGTAACAATTTAATCAAGTGTCAGCAGTGTAACCAGTGGTGTCACAAACGTTGTTCAAAAATAGTTGGTACTTTATCTAAAGTGTCCAATTTTGTTTGTCCTGCTTGCATCAATCCACAACAACAAATTCGAAATAGCACTGTTTTTAAAGCCATTAAGGTAGAAAAAGTCACATCGTTTCAATATCTAGGAGATGTTTTGGATTGTACTGGAACAGCTGAAGCTGCCGTTCGAGCACGCTTACGTGCAGCCTGGAATAAATGGCATCTCCTTGCCTCTATATTGATGCGGCGTGACATCCCACTACCACTACGATCAAGACCTTATAAATCTGTGATACGTCCGGTGTTGTTATATGGTGCAGAAACATGGCCAATGACAACCAAACTGGAACAAAAATTTCAACGAACCGACATGAAAATGCTCCGATGGATGCAACGAATTAGTCTGAAGGACCACATCAAATCTACCGAAATCCTGCGTCGTGCTGGTTTAGATGATATAAAGGATGAATGCCGGCAACACCGTCTGCGGTTGTTTGGTCATGTCAAACAAAGGTCGTCCAAAGAAATCCTGGTCGCAAACAATCGAGCAAGACATGAAAGCTCTAAATTTATATGAAATGGATACAACTGATCGTCTAATTTGGCGCAAAAAGTTGATGGCAAAGAAAACAACGTCCTACCTCAGAAAACCGGTTCTCTGGACGCAAAACGCAGATTGACTGATACATTAATTCATTCATTTATTTACTTAATTGCTCATTTTGTGAGCAATAAGGAGTGAAAAATGGGTTTGTGAATTGCTATTATACTTTATACAACATTATCTAGCCTTATCACAAGCATTCTATTTAAACATTCAATTAATTTTTTTTATGAAAACAAACCAATTGAACTGTTAGATTTGATAAGATGTCGACAACTATTTTTTCTTTGCTTTAAAAAATAATTTCTATCAATTTAGCTTACATAATATAAATTTAACTCACTATTTGTGTTCTCGATTTAATTAAAAGTTCAAATGAATAATCGTCACATACGCATATGTACACTCACATGCAGACAGACACACACACACACATATATACACAAATATAGATACACACATACACATAAATACACACACTTACATATATGTATATATATACACACAAACAAACAGACATACAGGAAAACATGTGAGTAGCAGATCCCAACGATCTTGTGAATTGAGACAGATAGATAGATCATCACTAAGCCAGCTTGCGTCTTTGATGTGTTCCGCTGTATATATTTATATATTTAAATAAACACTTCTATGTATGTATATACTTGTTATTTGCTATGCTATATATGCAAGATATGCGGTGCTTGCTGTGTGCTGTTCTGTATGTAGAGAGTATAGAAATGCGATATATGCGACGCGTTCTACGTACTGTTCTGTATATAGGGAGGAGTATATAAAAGAGTATAGAAGGAGTATAGAATTTTTTATGGTATAGAAAGCGTTACATAGATAGAGCGGTAAAAACATATACAAGGCAGCTAGTTGAGATATTAAGGGTCTTAAGATAGGGCGGTAAAAACATATATAAGGCAGCGAGTTGAGATATTAAGGGTCTTAGTTTCTTGATTTTGCTCTGGTCTTATTTTTAGCTGTTGATTATAGTGTCGCTTGATAGTAGATAGTATTAATAGATAGTTAATTTTAATATACCGCGTGTCAATTGTTACTTTGCATATAAAAACAGGCTTGATTTTGTTTTGTTTGATTTTTTATTGAATAAAAGAAATGCACATTTGAAATTTGGCTCGGCTTAATTATTTTACTTAAAATGATGAATGTTGAAGACTTGCTGATAGTTGACGACGCCGGCGTCTCTAGTCAACAAGTAGGGCGCGAACAAACTTTTGCCCGGCACGACCCTGAGAGGGTCTATTGTAACGTGGCGGACCCCGGCCAGGGTCGACTCCGCCGAGATGAAGGCTCGGATGCGGTTCGGGAATGCGTGGTGCGGAATTCGAATGTGGCCGGCATAAATCTACAAATATATGCCATATGTATATACACACACACTCATATATATATATATATATTTATATATATATAAATATATATATCATAATATTTATGTTATTTCATTATTACCCAACAAATAATCTCGCAAAGAAGAATTTTAAAAATATTTACACCACATGATGTTTTTTTTTATTTCATGCATTGTTTTATAAAATAACTAAAAGTCAATACATATATATATATATATAAATATATATATATATTAGGGTGGTCCCCAATTACATTGGAAAAAATAAAACGCGTAATTTTTCAGGTCTTACCCTTTTATTTGTTTCTCTCATATATAACAAGTAATATGATAAAATTTTATTGACCATAGACAAAATTTAGAGGTCGCCCAAGCGAGTCAAAGTGTCCTGTGCTACCACCTAATTATACGTATTAGCATTTTGTTGCAAAACATGACAAAACTGTTACAAACTACCTGATAAAATTATTATGTCCAGTACCCAGTGTCACTGTTAAACCATTTAGCTGTTAAGGAGATGTATTTCCTTCCACTAATGTCTCTTTCTTTGGGTTTGGATACTGAGTACGATGGTACTCAACAACTTGCAGAAGATACTGCTTTTGTTCTTCGGACGATACTATTGCTCTGTTAAAATCCTGCATCAAAGCAACTCCTCTCTCTGCAAAATCATTGACTGGCTTTATACCGCTTACAACTTCAAAAGCTTTCTTGTACTGTTCATCTTCTTTCCACTCGGAGGGTCTCTTGTTTAGAAATGAGTGAGGCAGTCCGAGGATTGCAAAGAATTGCATGGTGTTCGAAGACACAAAGTCTTTGACAGACATTTCATCAGATATGTCATTAATATTCATCTGCACTCTTTTGGTGAAGTCGTTGGTTGTTTTTGATTCCACTGACGGAGCATCAACCATCAACACTTTTTTCTCATGAGAAATCTGATCATCGAAAAACGCAGCTCCAGCAAGTTCTCGCTAACATACCATAGATGTCTAGAAAGTGCGTTTGCAGCGGCAACAGAAACTTCACGGTCTACATCTCTGAATTGTTGGATTTTCTTTACCAGCTGGAGATCATGTCTAGCGGCACTAAGAAGATCTGGAGCCGTGAACCACGATCTAAGATACACACAGATGCCAAAAACGATGAAGCGACAGATTCCCTTTTCTTCAACTCTTGTCAGCAGAAACTGATGACGATACATGTACAATTTGAAGGCGTATATTAGTCTCGTCATTCAGCGTGCCCTATACAGAGCTCCAGGTTGCAGAACTCTGACTCCCCTTGGCGGTGTCTCTCCCAGCTAAATAAGTGAAAGCTCCAGTAGTTGCCTGTAATCGCACCTTGGCTGAAATTGTTCAAGTTGCGTTAGGCAAAAGCTAACGATACCTTCTTTGTGTTGTTCAACTTTGCTGTTCATGCTTTCATCATCCATAATTGTATGGTAATCAGCTTGGTTACTGCTGTTGAACTCATTTCGAAGCGCAAGAAGAGTGCTATTTCTGGACCTGACGTATTAGACGACATGCATGCAGAAAACGCATGCTCAAGTATTATTTCAGATATGTGGTGACGGCAAGCTATGTGAAGCACGTTACGCCCTAATTTTTGTTGCAGCAGGGTGCATGCTCCATTTTTCTTTCCAGTATTACTCGCTGTAGTATCGAACACTAATGCCTTAACAGACTCCTCTAGGTTCCATTCTAAGAGGCATTCGTGCACTTCTGTAGCCTGTCTCTCCCCTGTACCAGATTCTAGTTTTGGAACTGATAAGAGCTTTTCAACTCCCGCTACAACAATGGGAAGACGATCAACTTTCTGATTACCGGTCAAATCATGTAAGAGCTTCCCATTTCAAAGGAACGTCTGGAGAAAAATTTCTTCGAATTTTTAACGCAAGTTCTTGACGATGCTTATGCCTTGCTCGTCGAATTGAGGATCTATTGATGGCAAGGTTTCCAGCATTTAAGCCAAGGTGTTTGGCAACTCCACTGATGATGTACTTCGCCTTTCTATCAGAAGTCTTCGTTCGATCAAGTGCTGCAGCAGTTTCCCTGCTAACTGCACAATGTGGACGGGACATCGAGAAGCTTTACCTGCACACGTTTGACAATGCTGTCTTCTTCTGATTCACATTTTGACGATGAATCACTGGAACTGTGCTCTATTTCAGCTGAACATGCACCGGCAGTGATCTCTTCCTGCGCTTGGACTGACTTTAATTTGTAGTTCTCCTGTCTTCTTTTCCTTTCATACGAGCGTGCCTCTTTCAGCGCCAGATTCTTATCTACACCACTCATATAACCACGCCGTTCCGGTTCCCTTTGTGCCAGCAAAAATTTTCTTTCTTCTTGTATCTGAATCAGTTCAATAGCATTAGCATGTGCTATATCAAACAGATCTTTTCGTGAATGAACGAATGCTTGTTCTTGACGTCTTTTGAGCATCTGAGTTTTTCTTAGTCACAGTTTAAACATATTATCCAGCTTCTTAACGGCGTTGTATTCTTGAGTTGTAGGAATTCTGGCCCGCTGCCATATTGGAAGTACCTCTCTTATAACAGCAGTCTCACTATCGCGAACTGTCATTTTCTCTGACAAATGAATGTACAAAAAGCGACGCATCACTTCACCTTTCGCTGGTAACTTGTTACCCAGAATGGCAGTTTTTAGACGCTGGCCTAGAAGATAAATATCCTGCTTCTTATTTGTTGACTCAGCCATGTTGTTTACTTTTTCAGACAAAGATCTGTTAATAAAAAACAAAGACGTTGTATTAGCAATTTGAATTAATTATTAGGCCCATAAGGTAAAACTTCAGAGCCCTTGGGCGACCTCTAAATATTGATTAATTAACCTAAGATTTTACACCAAGTATTACCTAATGGGTGGTAACAAAATTAGGGGGTAAGACAAAAAATTTAAAACTTTTTCATTTTGGGGACCACCCTAATATATATACATATATATACATTTATATATATATATAAGAAATTGGCAATACAAAGATCATACATGACATATGATATGATAATTAAATAAATAATTAAATATATTTATATATATATATATATATATGCTAATGACCCCTTTAGGGCAGTATGCTAATTTTTAATCAATGTGCTTTTTATAAGAGCTTATATAAATAAATAAACATTACATTATACATTAAATATACATAAATATACATTACACATTTATTTATTATATATATATATATCAATTATTTTATATAAAAGTATGATGTAATATAGGTAGTATGCTAATTTTTTATTATGCTATAGGTATAATAGAAGGCTTCATTGAAGCATATTTCATTAAATTAGTATGCCCACTCTGCGTTCCAAAGTTTATTGATAAGAACTTCAACACCACGTAGTTTTTTGATTTCGTATTTATTCAAAACATCCATGAAATTTGTCAGCTGGCAACGCTGTTTCAGCTATTTAGCCATCATCGGAGCTGAATATTATTGTAAATAATTTTAAAATATTAAATAATTGAAATGAGATAAATTAGGATAAATTATATCTTCCTAATTTATCTCATTTCTATGATTTTAATATTATTCACAATAATATTTAGCTCCGACCAACCAACCAACCAACCCAAATAGTAAAGTTAAACTCCGAATTTATTACAACAATAAAAAGACGTCTCACCTAATACTGAAAAACAACTGCAGTCCTAGAGATAACTCTGAGTTAAAGCGTAATCACGTAATGTATGAATTTAATTGCCCCTTTGACGGCTGTGCACGTCGACATGACTCATATATCGGGATTACTACTACCTCACTGACTAGAAGGCTTACGATGCATAAACAGAGTGGTGCTATCAAATCTCAATTGGACTCAACACACTCAATCACAATTAGCCGTGAAATCCTCGACAGCAACACCAAAGTAATATACCAGAACAGCAACTACACGCATCTTAAAATTGCAGAAGCAGTCCTAATTGACATCAATAAACCAAAAATAAATATACAACAAATAATGACAACCTCACTTCCAACCCGGCGCTTAACCAACAACGAAAACAAAGAAGTAATAAAAACTAGCATCGTAAATAGTGACAAAGAAGAATATGATGCTATCGATGAAGGAAAGGAGACGAAAGAAGATGACCAGCCAATTAAGAAACCTGACACCTAATTCGCATCAAAGTTCAATTTTACAACACCAAAGTTAATTTTTACAACGTCAAAGTTCATCTTGACAAAGTCAATATTTCCCTATATATAAAGCAAGGAGCACTGATGATGATTCATTCGGAATCGAAATATGGCCTTATTTGCAGCATGAATTCGAAAAATAAGTTTATTTTGAATTTTAATAAACTAAACGTTCACCAAAAAACTTTAGTGAGAAAAATCGAAAAAACGAACTACAAACATTCGGTAGAGTTTAATGCCAAACATTCGGTAGAGTTTATAGAATATTGTAAAAATTATGGTCTATTACCAACATATATATATATATATATATGTATATATATATATATATATATATATATATATATATATATATATATATAATTTGTATGAATTCTATAGAGTTGTTTGGAAAAATTCGGTAGAATTCATACATTACTGTGTAAAATATGTAATATATATATATATATATATATTATATATATATATATATATATATATATGTGTGTGTGTGTGTGTGTGTGTGTGTGTGTGTGTGTGTGTGTGTGTGTGTGTGTGTGTGTGTGTGTGTGTGTGTGTATAAACTGCATATATATGAATAATCAACACAGGAGCATGTGCGTAATAAAATAGTAGTGACTGACTTTTCTGTCGTTGATGAAATTTGACAAAGTTTTTCAGCAACATTGACGACGTGTTCCATTCATCGATCGAAACCGTGAGATTGCTACGATGAATAACCATCTGAACTTGAAAAGCTTGAACTTGAATAAAGTATGTCAGATTAATAAATTTTAATTTTTTTTACATTTTTTTATCGTCCACGTGATTGCTTTGTTTGATAAATAAATTTTATTACAATTGAATAACATCATATATATAATATTAATATTTATATTCAAATCTTCAAATCAATTCTAAATTATTTTTTGTATTTAATTCATAAATAAATAAATTATAAATAAATTAAATTGTTATATAAATATTCTATTTTGTATTTTAGTCTTTTACTTTTACCTTTTACGTTTTATTCTATCTACATCATCCTCTCATTTTTAACTGAATAATTTATTTAATTATATTTGATTATTAATATTAATAATGATGTCATAATATTAATTTTAGTTTACGATTTGTTCTAGTCATGCATCAGTCAATTAATCAGTCTGGTCATAAAAAAAACATTTTTTAGTTTTAGCCTAAAAAAGGGTGACTTCGACTTAATTTATTTAATTTTAATAGGGAAATGATTTTAAAAATAAAATAAGTATATTTTAATTTTAATCTATATGATATGCTTAGAAATTATATATACTATGTTATGTATGCATAAATAGTTATTAAGGCCTATATTTTCAAAATTTTAATTCTGTGACCACCTACCTTCTGAATAACAAATGTTTTGTAAAATGTCAACATTAATGTACAAATAACTTATTTGTACTTTAATATTAACATAATTATTAAAATATAGCTTAATATCAGGTTTAGACATAGAGACTTTATCTGGTCTCACCTGGTAACAAGTTTACTAGCCTGTAAGTAATGTAATGGCTTAACCTTAACTATTTAATCAAAATACATTTCAACATATATTCAAACCATCGTTATGAAATTCAATTTTGCCTAGTTTTTCTACTGTTGGTTGTTGAGCGATGTTGTAATTATTTATGAATATCGCTAAAACGTGTTAGTATTTAAATTTAGCTAAACATTTTACAAGTAAAATGTTACATGTCATTATAATTTTAATACAGGTTGAAAACAATTATTTATTTGATCCAAATCTGCTGGAGGAGATCTGCATGAACGAAACTACAACCTATTTGAAGGGTGGTGTGTCCTTATCTAATCCTGGTGAAGGGTTGAAGCTGAGACCCCTCTCTGCTGATGATTTTGCAAAAGGTTGTTTTTTAACATTTTTATTGGAACAATTTTATCTTAGACAACATGTTTGTGACAGTAAAATATGATTTCATGCAAATGTGATATAGATTCATCTGATAGAATAAGGTAGATAGAATAAGGATAGAAGATAGAATATGGATAGAATTATCAACATATATATATATATATATATATATATATATATATATATATATATATATATATATATATATATATATATATATATATAGATCTGTGTATTTAGGCAGTATGCTTTCTTCAATTCATATTTTGTTAAATGTGATCAAAAATAACAGGGTTGTTTCGTTTCTTTTTCAGTTTTTCCAATTCCCTATTAAGTTCCTTGGTTTTATAATCATGGTTGTGAATTAAATTTTAAAGAGCATTTTTATAAAGTTTTTAATTTCTCTATGTTTTCATGTCAGTGTCAATATATACTATGTTATTTTTTTAATAAAAAAAGGTTTGATGGGATAGCAGACATCAACTACTTATGTTAGCAGGATCAGTGTCATATTTTTCACTAACCTACTAATTTTGAATATCATTCTGATCATTTAGTTAGGCAAATTAATAAAATTAGATAAAATGTCAGGTTCATAACATTTTTGGTGCAATAACAAACAAACAAGTTCATGTTTATGCACCAGGCTACTTAGACCTATTGAAGCAACCTAACTTGGTTGGACAGATTTTCACGGAAACCATTCTAAGTTTGTTATTTGTTCATCCATTTGATTACTTTTTCATAATTTCATCCACCATGGATCATTATTTATTAATTTATTTATGTTTCTTAAAACGTAAAATTAAATAGATGACATCATTTCCATTGTAGGAATATATCAACTATGGAGTATATATGATATATGAGTTGATATGAACTCTAACCCTTTTTGCATAAATTGTTTTCTTCACTTCAATTTCAAATAATTTTTTAATTAACTTATAGATATTTTTAATTTTGTGCTGTAACTGAAATTAAGGAGCCAGAATTTTTTTCTGTTTGCTCATTAAAAATTTTAATGAATATGATAACAATATAATAATAATCATGATGAGTGCAGCTTATAGAAACCATTTTCTCATATCAATGGGCATTCATGCAGAAAAACCGAAAATAAACCCAAATAAAAATAAATAAAAATAAAATGATGGGTTCGAGAATCAAAAATATTCACAAGCAAATCATCCACCATGCAGTCTGACTTCATAAGTCAACCCTCGTTGTATACAAAACTCAAAACATGAACATAATTAAAAATTGGTTCAATGTTCACAAAATGTTAATTCACAAGCTGTCTCACATATTTTCTAATGCACAATCTGACATCACATTCATCATCGTTGGCCAACGTCATGACATCTTCTTTTATCATCTGTGGCCAGTTCCACTCCTCAGCTGACCATCATGATGTCTTCATCACTTTTGTTGATCGTTGTGGTCAGTCCGCCAATCACCAACAATCATAATTGCATCTTCACCTAGTCAAGAACTGATAATTTCTGAAAGTCAAACTAAGAAATATTACACTAGCATAAGACCTGGTCGTATAAAGTTAGCAACAACACATCACACCTATTTTTCCAATCATAATTACAATCTTCATTCATATAATATCAAGCCTATTTTTAAATTATTTCACATTGCTTAATTTCACATGGGATTACATATACTTTTAGCCGCCATTTATAGAGTAGGTCAAATTAAAATCAATAAATCATACAATTTGTTGTACTCTTGTTCTTTCTCAATAAATACAGGCAGGTTCAATTTAATGAAATCAACTCCTAGCACATATTTCATATTTGTGATAGAAGATTTGGAAAAGCAGAAGATCGTAGCATCTGCAACTGTGGTAGTTGAAAGAAAATTCATCCATGAATGTTCTTCAGTAAATACTTTTTTTTTAATTTTTTGTCAGGGTTTATTTTACGTAATAGCATCTAATAATAATAATATGAAATTTTATATGGCGATATATGCAACATTGCTTCAGAGGTGCCCAATTAATTATTATGAAAATACAACAACTGCCTACCCATGCGTGCATTGCCCACTAGGCTGCAAGCTCCACCTTGCACAACTTTGCATAGAAGCTGAACTTCTGCATGCATTAAACTGATAATAAGCGTAAAAAACAATAAGGTGAAAAAATCAAATAATTTTTAGAATATTGTTAATTGGAAAATAAAAATTTGTTTAATGTTGTTTGTAATAACAGAGGGGGAGGATTGAAGATGTGGTTGTTGATGAAGGTTACAGAGGACTGCAGCTTGGGAAGTTGTTAGCATCATTTGTCCTATATCTGTTCACTTTAAAAATTGACTCATTTTAAATAATTTTGTTCAGTTATTGTCAGATCAATTATTTTTGCCACTCATTTCATTTGAGAGAATTTGCTGATTAGCTGGTTCTTGTTATCTTGTAGCCATGGAATGGTGTCGTACTGTTGAGTTTAAAATGCTGTCTGAACTTCTTACTCAAATAATGCTTTTGATGGTTTAGATAGTTATAGACTACAATTGCAAGTTGAGAGATGAATCACTGCAAAATTGAACTTTATTTGTCGTTGTTACTTGGACATTTAGCAATTCATTTATAATTTTTGATATTCAAATTTTTTGCAGGCTGGTAGTTGTTGGAGAGTTTTTGTCAAAAAAATTGGGTTGCTACAAAACATCTCTTGAATGCAGTGATGGCAAGGTCGAATTTTATGAAAAAGTTGGTTTTAAAATTGATGGCAAGCATATGGTGAAAAGATTTAGCTCTTAGGATTCGCTAACGTTTTTCTGCATAAAATATCCCATGTTTCTTTTTCTAAATTAATTTATTTAGTGCCTTCTCTCACAATAAATTTTTGAAATTTGTAAATCTCATCAAATTTTTGTTCATTTTGGATTTTCTAACCACTCACAATTTTTTGATTTTGACCGTCTTTTTAGAACATGACTATTTTAAAATGTGGCAATGAAGTTAGCGCTAAGTTGTATAGGAAATTTGTTGGTTAAGCCTCAACAATTGAAAGTTATTCTGATTTAAAAGAACTTTATGCTAGTTAAATGTTTTTTTTTTTGAGATAATTTTTATTATGCACTGTCCAGCAAATTTGAATCTTCTTTTAAAATTTTTGGTTCTCTTTACATTCTCTCTTTTTTTTACATATTTTTGTCAAAAAATGTTATTTTTGATAATTTATTGATGGTTTAAGTTTTATAGTTTTTTCTTCGATTTCCTCAACTACATTAACATGAATCTTTAACTCACATTATAAGTTGAAATGTCTAGTTGAGGCATGTTTTCTCACTTAATAAAATCAAAATTTGCACAAGCATCCATGCACTTTCATCAGCACTACCATTGTCTGAGTCTACAAATGTTTATACACTGCGTTATATATGGGCTTTTAGTTATGTACTGTGTAAATATTCTTGACGCAATTAAAATTTTGTTATTTTGATCCTTTTAATTGTTTGGTTAGTTTTAACCTGTAACTCAAATTATGTAAGTTCTAGTGTCTTCAGAGCAACTCCAATCTCTAATTAACATGTAAAAGATTTATGTCTTTTAGTTGGTTTCATTACTTTTAACAGATTAATTAATTAATATTTTCTTTTTAAAAGAATTGGTACTTTTTAATTTAATTTGTTTTTATCACGTTGATTTATCTTTTTATTATATTGTTCACTGTATGCATAATCATCCATCAAGAGTTTTTATACATGGCTAGGACTTGTTAGGAATGTTTAATATTAATAACTTCTATTGCATTGTCAATCAGAAATTATTGTTTGATAACCTATTTTATTTATTCATCGGTTAGTTTTGTAAGAATTATATAAATATCGTTTCTTTTTTAAATGTCAAACACGTTGACAGTTGTCGGAGGTTCCACATCAACAATGAAGTTAGGCAAGTGTTTATGGGTGAACTAATCAAGGTTGTTTTGTTAACAGCCGAAGACATAACAATTTTTCGTCTGAGCCATTTCACTGAGTGACAAATATGTGGTTATACTTTTGCATGCAAATATATGCTGTTATCAAAGAAAAATAGTTGTGCCTAGATATTATGTTTTATTGGAGTTTTATTTTGCTTGCATTCCATTTATTATTTATTTAGTTAATTAGTCACAATTTGTCATATCTTTTTGTTTGATGTGAGACTTAGAAAATCATGAAATATAATTAATGTGTTAAGTATATATACTCAACTTCATTACAATGTTTTTTATTTACGTTTGGTTTTTATTTTCTTTGTGATCTGGATTAATCAATATTGTTACTTACGTAGTTTATTAAATACGACAAATAAATTCGTCGTAATTAATTCGAATGATTGGATGAAATTGGGGAATTCATACTTAAACTTTCTAAATTTCTTTTCTATTAAACGTATTGTAATAACATTCCTTAGAGTCAGAGTTAATGTGGATTGAAACTGTAACAAAGTATTTTATAGTTATCATGGTGATGGTTGCCAGGATGGAAAGGCTATTATTTGATGTTGAGCTTAAAAAGTGTTCTAGTGGCGAGATGGCATAGTGATAGAAGGTAGAGCATCAGTTTTCATCAGGGCTCAAACCTGAGTTTTAATCTAGGGCATGCTCAAAGACCAGATGATTGCTTTTACCGCTTTCATTTTTTCACATCTTTTTCGTACATTATTTTTTTAGGCCACGCATACACTTGGATTCTTTGTCGCTATCTAAACCATTTTTTATATTTAGTTGTTTTTTTATTACTTTTTTGCGACTTCTTTTTTCATGCCGAAAGATAAAACACTTGTGGTTTAATCTTTTTTCAAATATTTTATTGATTGTTAACCTAATCGGAGCTAAGTAACCCAAGTTCCATATTAGGTGAACTGGACCTTGTATGGAAATAATTGTAGGCGTTATTAAAGACCATTTGCGAAATATCGAAGTTTTTCAAACGAAATCCACTCGTAGGCATCGATGAGGCAGGCTCTAAAAGCCATATGCGGCGCTTATCTTTTCAGATGAAGCCCACGTATCTTCATATTTCACGTGTTAATACGTACGACCCACCTGGCAAGCATTTGCTTTTTTTTCCATACGTATATTTGTGTCCTATAAATGATAATGATAAATGCATAATTTTTTAAAGAAGATCTGAAGCTTGCAATGATATATTAAAAGGAGTCGCTTTCATGAAATTCAAAATAGAAATGCAACAATATATATATATATGTATATATATATATATACTCACCAGGTACCTAATCTACAAGAATAAAACCTCTTCGGTTCAAACAATAAGATTTGGTATTCCACAGGGCTCGGTTCTCGGACCGATCTTGTTTATTCTTTACACCTCTGAAATTATTGAGGCAATCAGATTACATGGTTTGTAGTGTCATGCATTTGCAGATGATATTCAGCTATACGCCACAGAATCCTATAGCAACTTTCATCTTGCAGTTGATCGTTTAGTTAAATGTTTGGTCGAAATCGAGAAATGGATGGCAAATAATCGTCTTGAGCTCAATCAAAGCAAGACGCAAACTCTTCTGGTTGGAACTTGGCAACAGCTGTCTAGAATTAAAATTAATTCAGTTATCATTGAGGGCTCAAATATAAACTTCCTTCCCAAAGCTACAAAGTTGGGTGTCATTCTTGATTCTAGGCTGGCTATGACTGAACATATCAAGTTTTTATCTGGAACTGCAACCCTACAACTGCGAAAATTAAAAGTAATCCGCAAAAGCTTAACCAAAGATGTTATTCAAATTTTAGTGCATTCGTTTATTCATTCTAGACTGGATTACTGCAACAGCCTTATTTATGGTTTGCCTGAAAAATCGTTATCTGAGCTTCAGTCAATTCAGAATCGGGCAGCTAAGATCGTGGTTGGTGCAAAAAAGTTTGACCATGTTACCCCAATATTCAGAGAACTGCACTGGTTGATGGTCAAAAAAAGAATTCTGTTCAAAATATCAACAATCATGTTCAAATGTATGAAGGGAATGGCGCCAGTTTATTTGAAAGAAATGCACGCACGGAAACAACTCCCATTAAAAACTGTCTTCTTAAGGTCTGATGATTGCAACTTGTTATGTGTGCCCCAAACCAACTAGAAAATGGCGGAAAGAAGTTTTTCAGTAAATGGACCAGCCGTTTGGAATGGTCTACTAAGTTATCTAAGACGGCCCGAACTGACAGAAAAATCATTCAAGAAATTGTTGAAATCATTTTTTTTCATTATAAGATTTGGTTTATCGTAGCAATTCAACTGTTTTTTAGAGTGCTTTTGAGAAACATTTTGTTTGTAATTAGCGCTATACAAATTTTTGAATAATATATATATATATATATATATATATATATATATATATATATATATATATATGCTGGGAGTAGACCATAATTGTTGCAATATGCAATACTTGATAAAATCTACCGAATTTTTTGAAAGTTTACGATTAAGCTTTTCAATATTTCTAACAGTAACTTTGTAATTATTATCTAATTTATTAAAATTAATTTGAAAATCGTTTAATGTTTTTGGTGAAGCGTATATGGGCCATATTTCGATTTTACTCATCTTCAGCACTTATATGGGAATATTTTAAGATTTTACAATTCTTTGTGTGTGCAAAGTTCTTTTAATCTGCCTTGTCTTGTGCAAAGTGCTTTTATTCTGCTTTTTCCTGTCCGTTTATTTTATCTTGGTCCTGTCCATTTATTATGTCTTTGTTCTGTTCATTCTCTTTGTTTGTAATACTTTCAATAAAATTTTTCTGGTCGATATTCTTTGCTGCTTGTTAATTTGCGATTTTCTTTGGTCAATGAAAATCGCTTCAGCAACTCTTAGACGGCTGTGGTTCTTGTTACCGTATATTATACTAGTATTGTTTACCAGAATCTTTCGTGATGGGGTCGTTTGATTCATCGTTTCCATCAAGTTGTAAACAAGCAATTGTTCAACCAATTTTAGAAAAAGCTAACTTGGATGCTAATGATGTGGGCAATTATAGGCCGATATCGATTTTTCTTTCATCCCAAAGGTTATAGAACGTGTGGTTGTAGATTGTCTGATGAAGCATCTGACGGTAAACAACCTAATGCCAAGTAATCAATTGGCATATCGATGTTACCAATCAACTGAAAGTGCATGTGCGAAGTGATTTGAAGAGAGATAATACTGGAAGGTATTTGTTGCAGTTGGAATCTGCGTATAACAATATATCTGCACCTGCAAATGATTGAATTTTTTCTAAAATTATCGATAGTATACTGTTGTGACGTGTTGTAGGTAACTTCAAAGTTTGATCTCTTAACGCTTCTGTGTAACTCTTCAAACACTTCAATGATTTGATATTCAATCGTCTTGATTTAAAAAGGAGTTATAGATACTCCGACACGCAGCTGCTAATTGGCAGGGCCAACCAGTTTCTAACCGATTAAGCAATCAATTGATCCAGGTTGTTGCCTATCCAAACCAAGGGAATGTCGTAAATGCGAAGTTCGAATGCCAACTGGGATGAGATGTATTGTCTTAATATTCGCAATTTTCATTGTGACGTTGTGTCCAACCCGTTTTTAACCGACAACATTGTGTTGGAGTTTTTCGATAAATGGCTTTTTCGCCCTTGAACGCGTCCTTCAAAATAGTAAATTTTTTCCAGTTAATCGAAATGACGTTAAGTTCAATTTTAGGTCAACATTGGGAGAAACTGTTCTTATATGCTATTTTTCTTTCTCATGCCAATGGCGCAGCGTTTGTCAATCCTCATACACATTCCAGTTGCTTTGCACTAAACTTGGTTCAGATTAATTAATTTTTGAAGACTGTCAGTGCTATAGGCAACGATGGCCGTGTCATCGGCAAACTGGAAGCCATGCTTTGGTTTTTAGATTGGTTGTGGGTCCCCATTTGTAGCCACACTGTTGAAGTTCTTTTTTTTTTGATTAGTTTCATCAACGGATTGAAACACAGATGAAACAGCAGAATGAAAACGGGATCGCCTTGAAGGACCCCACGTTTAACCAGAATTGGTGGAGTTTAACCAGAGGCTGAGATTAAATAATTGGCATAAATATTTTTTATTAAATTTTCAATCTGAAAAGAAATGTGATGATAAGCTTGCTTTGAAGAGATGAGGTTGTGGCTGACTTCTCCAAATGCGTTACGAATATCTAGGAGCGTGGCGATGATGGTACGTTGTTGTCTCTTAGCATCGTTGATCCTGTGCGTTAACAGCGTTCAGCCAAACCATCAACTTTAGGATAGAATCCTTTTTGAAAGTTTTTATTTATTAATTTATTTGTTTCAAGAAAACTATACATTCTATTGTTGATGAATGATGAAAATATTTTGTATAGTTTTGGTTGCAGTGTTATTGGGCTCAAACTTAAACTTAAAATAAAATAATGATAATAATAATAATATGCCTACATCTAGATATATGAAACATTTTAATTAAATCAAAAAACTATCGCGCCATCATTGCATGGGAAAATGACAATTTATCAATAGATTAAATTAAATTATTAATTTTATTAGGTCTATTAACAATACATCGGATAGTTTATCGTAAAATATGTCTATCAAAAAATATGTTCTGTTCTCATTTTAATTCTCATAGTAATAAATTATTTTAATATTCTATGTATATGATTTTCAGAATTTTACATAATGAGCGCAGCGAACTTTTTTTAATATTGAACTAATTTCGATAGTCGGATTTTGTTTAGGCTCCTCGGTAAACAGAAATAAATAGAAATGGCCTGCGAATAAAGTTCGGGCGAAAAATTTCTGATTCTGTATTAAGATTAAGACTGTCTTGATATATTATGTTGTTTTATCATTAGCACAAATAAACAAGAAGGCTTAGCAAATTTATGATGAACGACGATGTTTTTCCCGGTCGCAATCTTCAGAATATTTCCGATTCCGCCAGGAACAAACATTTTCATCACCATACACACACATGCAGCATGCGTCCGAGATCCGGAAAAGAGTACACGAGTGTTGAGTTGAGAGATCAGCGATCGCTCGATCGGTTGTCAACGGAGGCCAACCCGACCAACAACGAACTTCTGACAAATCATTCAGAAGAATATTTAAACTCACGTTCTAGCAATTTTGATTCCAAAAAAAATGTTTCGAAATTGGCCTCTCTTTACAATAAAGAAAGGGAGATAGCTTACGCAGCAATGACAAGAGGTGGCGATGGATCTGTTAAACTTGAAGATGACAAAGCACTATTTGCTAATCAATTAGATGCAAAAATCACTGAACATAATAGTAGTTTTTTGTCCCCATCTTTGTCGTGTAACAAAACACACACTAAAGAGAAATCACTCTCCAGCATATCATCAAACAAAACAAGTTTTAATGCTTCTCATAATCAAACAAATTGCGTAGATTACATCACTCTTGACTTTGAAACGTCTTCAACACAGGCCAACAAATCGAACGACAACAACAAAGGGATGGTAAAGTTTGATTCTAAAGTAGATTATGCATGCATTGATTTTGCCAAAACAAAAGCAATCAAGGAAGCAAGTGAAGAGCATTCCAAAATCAGAGGGTCTTGCAGTTTGAATGCTGAATCAAATTCTCTGTCAGATTTGGACCGAACTGTTTTCTTTAGCAACAATTCAACAAATTTTTATGTTCCAATTTCACCTGAACTTCTAAACTATGTGTCTTCTTCTTCCGATCATCATCAAACGATGAATGCTGCTGTTAATAAAACAAAAAGTAAAACATTTGAAAAGCAACGAAAGTCATCATTAGATTTATTAGATCTCAAGAATTCCTCATCTCATCATTCTAATACTTTACCTCACAATTCCAAACGAAACCTTCAGTAATTTTTTTACACGATTTTTGTTTAAACTACAAAACTTTATATTATTTAGCATTTTTTGATTAGGAAATAACTATAATGATTCAGAGCAATTCTAATTTTCAATATTTCCAGTGGCTTACCATCCATCTTCAGTCGAAAAATTCTTTAGTGCTGTTCTTCTAGTTTTATTGTTGCGGGTTTTGTTTTGTGCTTTTCTGTTCATTTATATTGTGATTTCAAAATTGGACTATTTTTCCCCAAAAGTCATTTTCAGCTATATTTTATGGTTTCATTGAGGTATTTTATTTTCCAAAATATTATTATAAAAAATGTCTACAACTCTAAATATGTTGATTGTTGTGCAGTGACTTTCAACTCCTTGTTAATAAATACATTGCAGTTATTTATTTTATAAATTGTGTTTTTTTTTTTTCTATTTGAGCTTTATTTTATTCAATCATCCATGTTTGACACTGTAACAGGCAAAAGATTTCATGAGAGTTCAACAGACATTATGCTTTGTTTCATCTGTTTTGAAATCTTAAAAGTTTTGTTTGTTTAAGCAGTTATTTGTATCAAATCAGATTTAGAATGTTGAATTTTTTTATTAAAACCTGTCTTTGTCTCTTAAATTCATTTGAAATGCTTCATGGGTATTCATCATTTAATTTCTTCTCATTTTCTAGTTAATGCTGTGAAAAGTTAGCACTGTAATTTATTTTCATTTATCATTTACGTTAATTCCATTTGTTTTCACATTCCTATATTAATGCTATATTGAATGCTCATGACTTTTTTCTTTGTAATTGTTGAGTCATGATCGTGAGCCAATGACTTGCTTTGTTAGGGTATTAAACTGTAAAAACTGGTTTTCAATGAAAAATTGTTGCTTTTGATGTGATTTGCGATTTTTTTTGCAATTTTTGCTAGATTACACTCACACATCCATATATTATCCATCTCACGCAACAAAGCTATTTATTCAAAGCAGCCGCAAATATATTAGTATATTTATGCATGTATGTATGTGCACACGTACTATTTTAGTGTTTTATTACCATCTTGTTGTAAATGTTGTACAAAATTTTCAGAATGAACGACTTCCAGCTGAATACACTAAAGTACAGTTATAAAAAATCATGAACCAGCCTATTTTGGGAAATTTAATATCAAGACAATATTATATTATCACGCGTTATTTTATTTTTATACTTTTGCTTGTGAAATCAATTGTTGCCAGTTTGACTACACGGGAATGAGGTTTTTTACTCAAATACCCAATTGTACTTGGTATTCTTGAATATTTTCACAGGATGTATAGGATGTTAATGTTAATTCTTTGCAGGACATCTAAACATTAAAAGATCTGCATAGAGTTCTCTAGTTCATATTTACAATCTGATGTATGAACTTAATAAGTTGTAATAGATTTGGTTTTGTTAAGTAATTTTTTATTTGCTAATAAATATTTCAAAAACTGCTTTAGACCTAAATATTATAATTATTCTGAATTGGTATACATTTAAGGTAGATGGAATTTTTTTGTTAGAAGCTTGCTTGACGGTTATTGAGCCTTGCCGTGATGCTAGACTATTATTTTTAAATAGAAAAATTGTATATTTGTTTATATACTAGCTGATTTAAAGTCTTTTATCTTACTGTGGTCGGTGTAATGTTTTTTGAAAATATTTTATATACAAACCGAGCTCTTCATTAATCCAGAAACCCTCGCGCCTCGCGCCCTTGAACGTCGTCGTCGTTCAAGGGCATGCAAAGATTAAAAAGATTTTTTTAGTCTTGAAAATTAATAAAAATTTTTATAATTATTTCCAACAAGTGAAAGTAAAAACAAAATTTTGGATGAAGTTTGTTAGATAATTGTATTCAGTAAAGCGTGTTTTTAAAGTAAAAATGATTTAGTGAAATTTTAAATTTAAGTTTATTGAAATTCTAAATTACCTATTATCGGTATTATTTTAATTTAAACGGTAAAATAGAGTTAAAAATCAGTTAGCGCAGTCAGTTTGTACGGTCGGCGGAAAGTTATTCTACGTCTTGAAAGCTTTATCCGTCGTGTAGGGGTTTACTGAGAAAATTAATCAGCGCTAAATGGAATAACGTTTTCAACTGTGTGTGTTTGTCTATGTATACTTTAAAAAGAATGGCTTTTACGTGCCCAATTTACGTGCCCAATCACGTGCCCAACGTACAGTTTTTTTTCAACTCTAATATTTTCATGCCCCAAACTTTTTCCTAGTGCCAGCTTATATTAGTATATTCAATGCGTGAATATATATATATATATATATATATATATATATATATATATTGGGCGACGCGATGGTGTAATGCTTAAGGTGCCTGGCGTCGTTATTACAGTGAACTGGTTCGAACGTAAAGAGATCTCCGCCTATCCATGCAAAAAGTGTGATGCGCCGATTCACGTGTATCTATATAAACTATGTGTTTGTTGTAATAACTTCTGAAAGGTATCTAAGAGAAAATAATATATATATATATATATATTAGGGTGGTTACAACGCTATATGTAAAAAAAAATTTCGAAATCTTATCGGGGGAACCCCCTAAATTGTGCCACTTGACTAAAAAATGACATCTGTAAAGTTTTAGCTCAATTGGATAATGCTAACCCGTGCCTCATTGAGGTTGAAATTTTGGAAAATTTTGAAAAAAACGCAGTTTTTGGTTTGTAAAATAAAAACGGTTCACTCTAGAAACATGATTTAAGTTTTATTTTGTTCATTGATTAGTTTTCTTCAAATGTTACTACGATCACTATTTAGCTACAAGTTATAGTTTCTGACATATTTGCATTGTTACAGATACACATTGAAAAAACGTTGAATTTCTCCACAACACAAAAACGCACAATAACTTAATTTGTTTATAAAGAAATGTTTTTAAAATAACACCGTTGTATCTAAATCACTATTATTAACGAATAAACACATTTTTTATTCATATTATATTGTTTATAGTTGTTATACATCAAATAAATTTCTACTTTAACTCATTGTTCAAAAGGTAGAGGCTCGGATAGGAGGCTTTTGAGCAACCAGGAAATTTTGTCCGACATTCAGCAATTACTTGTAAAAGATATTGTTTTTGATCTTCCTCTTTTGTAATACATGAGTTGTAATCTGTTATTAATTTAACACCCTTTTCTGCTGTATCATTTGTAACTTTTAATCCGTCCACAATCTTTTTACTCTTTAAATATTCTTCGTTATTACTCCATTATTCTGGATTGGTATGCAAAAATTGATCATTAATATTAAATCTTTTTAAAAAATTTCTTGAATGTGATGAAATAAAATGGTCCGCATTTTTGTCCAATATTTCTGATACTTCATTTATTTTTATTAGTGGTTTCATATCACAGTAGTCATCAAGTTCTTCATCCTCATTTGCTTGAGATATTAATTTTGTTGCCATTCTCTTTTTTACACAATTACTTAATGAATCATCGAATAATGAAAAAACAGCCTGCTCTGGATTGAGGTACTATATGTGGTTGATAAATTTTGAAACTGATATATTTGAGATAAATTTATTGAATTTATTAAATTTATTGTATAAATTTATAAATTTACCAAAGATTTCAACAATTGTAAGTCTTGGTTTGGAGCAAGTGCAGGTTTCGGGGCATCCAGCCACACTTTCACATAAATATTTAAAATAAATAAGCAAATATCATGGAATCCTTGTTTTTCAAAAATTGTCAGTTGAAATTGTTCTCTGAAAAAATATATTTTCAACGAATATATCGCTTTTGCCATCCACCTTGCGTGATGAAAAGCACCAGGAGCCGCAAACACGATGTTTTTTGACGGAAAGCGTTCTAAAAATATAAGACAAAGATTAATCAATTTTTTGTAATCGCTCCTTGGATGAGGAACTGTTAATTGTTCTAGAAGATAACTTGAAATTTGACCCGGATTAATCAATTTGCTGGCTACACTTTTATCTTTAACTCCTGATTTAAATTTTTTTTATCAATGTTGTTCCATTCAGTTTTAAATTTTTTGAAAATATCCGATTGAGGGCCTGTAGTCTTTCCCATCACAGCATCAAAAACGGATCTCAACACTATCTCCAAAATAGGTTGCGACATGGAAGATACAAAAATTTTTTCTCCATCAATTGCTCTAATAAAACGCAAGCACCTTTAATGCGGCCAGTATTCACGGCAGTTGTGTCAAAGGACATTGCTTGAATCTTGTCTAGTGCACCCCACTTTCCAAGTTCTGAATAAACAGATTTTGCAATTGTACTGCCAGCACCATTTTCTAATTGGGGAACTCCAATTAACTATTCTTCTTCTTCACAGCTAATTAAGACTGCAACTCTTTCAACATTTTCTTTATTTAACATATCTGGAAGTAATTTCCCATCCCAATGTACAACTGCTCCTTACCAAAAATGAGAAATTGTAGAAAACCAAAAGATCTTAATATTAATACATAAAAACAACGTATAGCACCCGGGTTAGTAATAGTAAATAAGTTATTGTGTGTTTTTGTGTTATGGAGAAATTCAACGTTTTTTCAATATGTATCTGTAACAATGCAAATATGTCAAAAACTATAACTTGTAGCTAAATAGTGATCATAGAAACATTTGAAGAAAACTAATCAATGAACAAAATAAAACTTAAATCATGTTTCTAGAGTGAACCGTTTTTATTTTACAAACCAAAAACTGCGTTTTTTTCAAAATTTTCCAATTTTTCGAAATTTCAACCTCGATGAGGCACGGGTTAGCATTATCCAATTGAGCTAAAACTTTACAGATGTCATTTTTTAGTCAAGTGGCACAATTTAGGGGGTTCCCCCGATATAATTTTGAAAAAAAATTTCTTGTGACCACCCTAATATACATACATGTATCTATGTGTGTGTGCACATTTATATGCGTATTATATACATAACATACAATCAATTTCCTTAGTCATGTTCGTTGTTTAATCAAAGCGTTCATTCAACATTTATGAGTTTTAAA